TCTGGAATATCGGTCAGAAAAATGTGAGATATGACGTCGAATCACACAGTGTATACAACATATTAAACTATAAATAAACTCAGCTTTCTTCATCTTCCTAGAGGGCGCTATTTCCAGCCTTTATCTTTTACAGGCAAAAAAATCATACTAATCAATTTAGTCGCCTTTAAAATCTGGTTGTTTGCATTTTTTATTGCTTTTAACTATAATACTTCCTATACACTGATACATTTCAAAATGGTAATGGAGGAGAATATGAAATAAAGCTGTTAAACTGGAAGAAAAAAAACATAAAAAAGCATCTAATTGACTTTAAAACAACTCTTTTGCTTTATACCTTAAAAAGAAAAAATACCCGCTGAATTTGTTGTTACTGCTTTTAAGTCAGTCAAATTTTTTTATGTATTTAATTATTTTCTTCTTTCTTTGTAAATGATGCTTCCTATGAAACCTGCATTTGAACATTAGTTTTACCAGCACACTGGTCAAGAGAGCTGAAATAGATGGAACGTTCAAGAAATTTTGAAAAACAAAAACCGACGAATTGGAAAAATGTAAACTTTACAGATGCAATATGGGAAAGTTTAGGGCAAAAACAACTAGTGCCAAAAGAATGCAAAACTAAAAATAAATGATAGAAAGTGTATATGTGTAAAAGTGGTGTTAAATGCAAAGACGTTAGCTTGCTTCTGTTATGAAACAAAATGGCGCACACAGAAGCAAATCCTGTTGATAACGGCAACAATTAAAAACCTTCTTTCCCTCGGTCTCTGAGTTTTGCACTGTTCGTTTACTACTATGCTGATACATGCAGGTTTTGGACAAGGTAGCAGTAATGACAGCTAAATAACGATATGCGCCTATTGCAAAATTCAGTGTATTCAAACGTTGGGCACGTGGAATGCAATACTATTGACCTCAACTGCCCTTCTGCACTACCAAAGAAAATTTTAAACTGTCACTGACGACCACTGCAAAATACATTGCACGGCATTATTGATAAAATCAAGAACAAACCAAGTAACTCCGAGACTCCCTAACCTCATTAAAAGTTTAAGTAGCCATCCTCATGAAATTGATTATTCTGATAAAGATGGCTTCAAGAATGTTTTAAAACGTGAAGACAGATAACAGAATATAATACACCGTAGAAGTTCACGCTGTGGCACAAAAATTTATTCCGCGTAAAGGTAAAATAAACCACAAAGAAAACTGTTTGTCATATAGAAAAACTTTCAATCTCCTTGAAAAGCACCGTTTTCGACCATGAATTTCTTCAAGTTTCTTTCATATATATACTATTTTTGCACTTTCAGACCTGGAACTTTATTCTGGCCGAAATCTTTATTAGCAATGGCTCTTAAACAAGCGTAACTAGTCATAAGAAACTTCACTGGTGAGAAATATGCAGATTTTGGTAAATCTTTTTCTCATTCGTCAATGACGCAAGGCGAATACGGTAAAAACATTTGCGAACCGATCTGAAATAGTTTTCAAGAAATGGCAAACTAGTTTTAGGTGTTTAGTTAAATATAACTCAGATCACAGGTTGAACGTGATTTATAAGTTCAGGTGAACAAAAAATCTGCTTTCTCTCTGGTTAACCAAAAATATTTACTATGACTCTCCTTCCTGATGAGTGATGTAAATGCGCTGTAGCGTGATTATTCAGAATTACAAATGTCCTACCTACACATTTTGAGGCCGCATAACTCAAAGCATCAGAAAGATGACTTCGTAAACATTTATCAGATTACTTCTGGTTAGATGATAGCCTGAGCTCTGAAGCACCAAGCTACTCAATGAAGCCAACGTTCAAACCTCACCCAGTGATCAAAAACCTGCTGTGTCATCTGGTTTAAATTACAGTATTTGCCTTATCAAACTGAAGCTGTGACCATTGCCAATAACGATTCGTTTCGACTCCCCAAAAAATGTAAGCATTTTGCGCCTTCCATCAACTTCACTTGCCTACTGATTCTTCTATTTACCGTTACCAGTTAGAATTACTCTCAGTTAATTCAACGCGTAAACTACTCTTGACTGAGCGTGTGGTAGCTTCTTCCTCACGCTCAGAAAATTACTTCTTTCTTTTTTGTAAAAAAAATATGTCACCTGACTGTAAAAAACCAAACCAGTCAAAAACACTTCCCATCCGTAACTCCTTGAACTAGGACAGCACTCATTTCCACGGTTAGACAGGACGACATCAAGAATTCTTATAATTCCAAAAAAATAAAACCTGCCCATACGACAGCTTCATTTCATAACCTTTTAAAGCCTAAAAATACATTAACCGAGTGGTTAAAGATGAACTTAGTCAACGCTAAACGGGGCGTAATTAACCACACTAACGCACTCAACCTCGCCGCAGAGGAAAACCTACACGGAATAGCCCTATTCTACGCAACAATAAGCCTCAAAAAAAATTATTAGAAGTACGACTCAAATATGTTTTTTTGTTTTTTCCGTCAATCCGCTGAAAGCTCCACCTCAAATGTTTTTATAAAAATCAGTTTGAAAGTTTAAACCAGTAAGCGAAAAAGAAGTTTTCCGTTAACCGAAATACTAAAGGTAACAACGAAAAACCCTCACTGGTTAAACAAAATACGGAACAAAAATGATGAAGCTACCAGATGAATCCGAAGTCTCCGAAGCAAAAAAATCTAATATTACTTAGAAAATCACATTCTCTGCACATATAAGGACAAAGGAAGTAGAGGCGGAAGTGAAAATGGCACAAGGCAGGAAGAAGACATAGCAGTAGCGTTTTGAGAAATTAAAATAAACTTTACTTATAGAAAGAATGACAAGTCGGTGAACACCGAAAAGGCAATCTGCTCTTGAGATTCACGTAGTTTTGGGCAGACTGCAGGGAAAACAAGAAAACGTCTACCTGGACCGGACTTCTCATAATTCTTCTTTTTGAGACTGAAACGATGTTAGATGCAGATTCGCCTGGTCCGTCCCAACCATCAAACCCTTAAAGCTTTAACGGCCGTTCTCTTTGTGACCCTTCTCTGTCCCTAAATGTAAAACTTCTCACAAACGTCTCCAACCAAACAAGAACAAACGCTGCTCTCTTCACAATTTCTTTCCGCCTGTTACTGGACAACTGGACAACGCACAACTGCGTTGATTCCGCTAGCGTTTACTTGACGTTTCATCAAAAAAACTACTTCTTTTAGTACTTTGAAACTACTCCTCCGTCTGCTGCCTGATCGAAAAGCCCGTCCACCTTGCCTACTAAAATTGCTTCGACACGACAATGCCAAACTAAAGGAGAACTTGGCAGCTGTTATATTGAGAGAGTAGTCACAGGCAAGTGTTGAAAATGCAATAAAACTGACCTCAAGGGGCTAAGTCCGTTTTACCCTCAACAACTCATACTCCGCTTCCATCCATCTAAAAAAAAGCACACGAAACCTGACCTACCCAAAACATAAGGCATACTGCAGAAATAAGTGAACAAAAACCAAAAAATAAATCAGTACGTCGAAGTCCTAAAGTAACCAAAGACCTGTAAAGCTGAAGAGACACTACAAATACAATAATCATATATTAATTTATTTTCTTCGCACAAGGTAACAACTCAATGACCATGAAAACAAAAACACAAATCAAATAAAAAAATGAAAAAAAAAAAAAACAATGACGAAACTGTTTACAAAAAGCAGCAAAAATAACCGTTAATAAGATTGCCCAGCTGCCGCTGGAGCCAACAAGACAGTACACAGCTTTGTAAAACAAAATTTCTGATACCTCCTTTTCAACACTTAAACTCTGCAAAACGAGTCATTCGTACGCGCAAAATGAACAAGGAAAACACGGAGAACACGCAGCTGTCACAGTGGACACTACGCCAGAAAAGCATAAAATGAAGCAAACACGACGCAAAATATAAATTTTAGTAAAAAATAACGAAACGAAAAACTTGAAAATGGACGCAGTAAAAATTATATACTCCAAATGTAACTTTCTTTAAACATTAGACTTCAATCCGAAGTGTTGCTGCACAACAAACACAACACAAGTTTTCTCAAAACATACAGAAATTTTATAGGGTTGAAAAATGTATACAAGTTATTCAAGGGAAAAGATCTTTACGACGTCTGACAATTTGGGTTGCCTACCATCCTAGAAAGAACACCTGCTTTCATGTTTGATTTAATGGTGAATTTTCAGAAAAAAAAAATTAACAATTCCAGAAAGAAAAAATGCTTCACCTTCCATTGTGTGACCAGAGGAAAAAATGGAGGGGAATATTACACAACAAATAAAGCTTACTTAATCAAAATACGGTTTCTCTACTCTAAAAACCCTAAGCTGCTTGAATACCACAGAAACCAAAAGACCACAAAACTAGGAAGTCAAAGAATAACGAAAACGAAAATGAGTTAATATACTTTGAAGACCCTAACCGAGCTATGACGCAAAATACCAATAAACAATATTAAAATGGAAGAAGCTGAGAAGCCAACTTCTTACCTGAAATAAAAACAGAACCGGTGTATGCCAAAACATTAAAAACAGCATGGCAGGCTGAGCTGCGGATCACAAATCTTCTTAAGAACACAAAACAAGATTACAGTGCCAGTATGAAAGCACTCTCTTGCAAATACATATTATAAATACCTAAAAAAATAATAACTAAAAAAACAGAAAATAACCCGTCATTCCCGTAACCGTTTGGAATGAACTCAAAAAAATAAAGATAAAAAATAAAAGACGAGTATTAAAAAAGAAAAACAAGCGCAAGACGACACATTAGGTACACCACACAATGCGACCTATGAGAAGGAAACCTAACTATTTTCATAAACTTTATCGTCCCAGCTTCCCAAGAGATTTCACGCTTAATAAGACTTGCGTTAAAAACGCCCAACAACGTTCACACGTAATCAAATACAAGACACACAAACACACGCACACACACATACAATGAGCTAGAGAAGCAAGAGAGTGACCATGTTCCACACTTTCATACATTGAATTCCAACTTATGCCACTGCCTGAACAGACCCAGCTGCAGCAGTACCCGTTCCATTTTCTACAACAGCGGTACTGTTCCTTGATGGTGGTGGCATCGCATTAACAACCGACTTAATTGGTTGCGAAGAAACATCCCCATTCACCAAAGGTTTTTGAAGACTTCCATTTCCATTTCTATTTACATGGTTTAAAGTTCCATTCTCCAGACGTTGTCGTTTGGCTGGCGGTGAATATATTTCTTTAAGCGGATTCACTGACTTGACAACTTCTTCAACAATAGCTAAAAACAAAAAGTGGTAAAATTAATCCACGAAACACTGAAAGAAAAAATTCTAAGTATCAAAAACCCAACCTTTGGCATTTTCGTCCCTCTCGCTTTTCTCTTTGTTTGTAAGATCTTCAATAACTTCTTTTTTAACTATCTTTTCTTCCATTTCCACTTTCTCCTTAAGGGAACCGTTAATTAGAGCTTCTCTCATCTTGAAACGAAGCTGCTTCCTCTCTTCCTTTTCTCTTCGTTCATCGATATCACCTCTTTGCATCTCATATAAAACGTCTGCAATCGTCGCCCCAACCTTCGAGTCCATCTGCAGAAAAATAGTTCTCCAAATATTTAATTCATTAAAAACATTAAGCAATGAAGAAAAAAGCTAACCAGCTGCGACATCGTAAACTGCAAAAGCAATTGTTGGTGTTTAAAAAATTGTTTTCTGCAAATTGGAACTCTTGATAAATGCAGCATGATCATTGCCGCTTTACGCAACATGCCAACTGACGTTCCCACCAGTTCTGGATTTTCACGTAAGGCGAGCATACCGTGTTGCTGTGCAACCTTAAAGGTTCAAAAGCCTATATACGTAGGTTCGTCACACACAATTAAAAAACATTCTTTCAATAACTAACCTGATGAAAACTTGCATCACCAGCTTCTAGAAACGATACAAGATGGCTGATTCCAGATGTTTCCAGTGCTGTTACAACACAAGCTGCTTCGGAAGCAGCACAAATAGCATGCAGGATGACAATTGCGAATTCCCTGAAACACCGCAATTCATTACACCCATAAAACACAGCCTTCCAGAAACTATAATACTTAGTCCACAAAAATCGTGAAAGAATCAGAACCTGTACGGAATCTCCTCATTCATAGCGAGCAACGCAGCAATATTTTTTATAAACCTCTCCATTCTTTGCCAAGGTCCTGTTGATACCAGTAAATCAACATTACGGTCTATTACAGACATTTTGCAAAGAGTTTCCAGGCAATAATTTCTAAGAAAAAATACAATCAGAAAAACGCGCTATAAATACAAATGCATGTATAAATTGAAGTTACATCAGTTAAAAAACTGAGTAACCTGTAATCTCCTAAAATTTGCACCAAACCCTCGTGTCGCTGAAGTTAAAAGAATCAAACGAAGAAAAGGGCAGGATAAAAGTAGTGTCCGGAAAAAAAATAGTGCTCAGAAGAGCTCAGTTACAAAAAGGAATATCACTGTTCTCAAGAAAAATTTGGATAGTCTTGATTTTTGGAAAGCCTTAAAAAATTGAAAAAAAAATTCCAGTCCAGCATTTAAAATCGTGGGTTAACTGCAAAACATACATTTTCTTCCTGTCTAAACAACAAGTCCTGTTAAAATTAAAAAGAAAATATTCATCAACAAGCTTCTTTAGAGATAATTATGAAGACTTCTTCGCCTTATGCAAAAACTTGAATTTCACCCCACCACTGAGAGACTTACTTCAGAGGTCACTCACCAATTAGACCCAACAAACATAAAATCCATATGGTTCCACCTCTACTAGCTCACAGTTTGAGACTTAATCCCTCTAAAAAACGTAAGACCACCTAATTTTATTTCATCTGACCTATTAAACACATTCAAGTAAAAAGGAAACTAATTCGATACGTCTAACTCCCCGACAGAAAAAAACTGCTGTGATATGAAGACAAAAATATTTGCAAGAAAATAACCGAGGAGAAACACAGCCAGGGGCTAGAGGATCTTTTGCTTCTGCACTCTTGCTGACGCACCAATGAATTAAACCGTCGAAGATTGGCCATGAAACGTCTGACTCAAAATCATAGAGATCAATCTAAAAGAATTAATGCATAACATTCATTAACCAACTTAAAAAAGCAGACTCGATGAAACGACAAAACCACAAACAACCTTGCCACTAAGGTGAGTAAGAATAACAAATGCGTCCTCCCGGAGTTGGTTTGCAGTTTCTTGGAGCAGTAACACATCATCATCGTCAGGTTCCAAAAGATCGCCAGGCGCAAGAAGCCGTTTTGTTGTTTCGGATAACTCACCAACAGCTGGGGGATTATCCTGAAGATTAATCGATAAGAGAAATACGAAATCGCCGGAAAAAACGAAATTACATTTTAGCAAAAATGAATAGCAAGAAGAAGCACCTTCAACGGTTCCTGTTTTACAAGTAGTGCTTTCGGTTTCAAAATAGGCCGTTCCTCAGCATACAACCGTAACAACCTCCCGAGGATAAATAAAAGACCCGAATGTTTGCACATTGGTTCATCATTAAGCTCTTGTAAAAATGATAAACCTCTCAAGATGTTAGATATGGATAAACACCGCCGAACCTAGATCAAACGTCAAGGTAATAGCAGTAAAAAAAAACTACTGACAGATAACTTTATACATGTGTACTGCATCTGCAACTCACAATTAACATACGCGACTCATTACGAGTACATAAAGCCGTTTGACGCAGGCTTTTCAGCTCAACTACGTTCTCTTCATCGTCATACTTATTCCAGAAATCAAATTCAGGAGGATAATACACCTGGAAGAAACACCTGTCTAAGCCTAAAGCTCATTTGAACCTATACACCAAGAAAATTTAGTGAAATAACAACCTTCAAGCTCTCTTGTTTTTCGCAAAAACTCCCAGACGTCCTTTCTTTCGAGTCAATAAGGCCAAATCTAGCTCTCTTCAACAAGTTCTTCAGTTCGAGATCAGTCGAGAACTTTGTAAAAAGGAAAGCAGACGTGCCACCACGTAAGCCCCAAGGGACCCGTTCGTCAAAATAATCAGGCGACAAAGTAGCTACAAGATATTCAGAATAAAAACTCTAAAATAAAGAACCGAGAACCATCAAGTCGAGTAAGCATAATTTTACTAGAAGAATCCATAGAAAAGCAGCGTAAACAAATCAGTAACTTACGATCTAACGCATCAATAACCCGACCATCTGGCCTTGACCTTTTGAGCGATTCTGGTTCTTTCCTCTTAACAGTAGCCACCGCTCTACCTACAAAATACTCGTTCTTCTAAACCATCAGAAAACATTAAGGGATAATTACAAGAAGTAACCAAACCTGTACGCGATATTTTCGTAAAATTCCGAGGCTCTGTCTTCGAAGATCTTTGTGCGACCCAGATGTGTTTCATAACCGTCTTGTCGTTTTCATCGAACGCAAAAATGGGCTCTGGATCATCATCGACTGTTCGTACTTTAGATTCTTTACCAACCTGTAAAAGACCTCGACGAACTGCTGAACCAAACAAAAAAAAAAAAA